CATATATATATATATATATATATATATATATATATATATATATAACGCTGGTATCCTCGTGTAACATCTCAAAATAACTTTCATATTCAATTTCTGGGAAAAAAAGGGGACTCGATCGAAGCTCTTGCATGCGTGAAGAATTTGCGATTTAAGTATTGATTCCCGTATATTTCGCGAGGAACACGATGGTGCCGTTGGTTTTCTCTGAAATCAACTCCAAAGCTCTAAAAAAGCTCTCGAAGTTGAGGCCGTAATGGAGGGGATATCCCACGCTATCCTGAGAGTCAACGTCTACATCAAGACAAATTCTCCATGCAAAGATAGAGAGCAAATACATTGACAGGGCTGCCACTTTATTTGGGGACTCCAAAACTGAAAACACGGCAACCCTGCTAATGTATACTCACTCCCTAACTTTGCGTAGAAAGTTTGTCTTGATGTAGAGGTGGACTCTCAGGGTGGCGTGGGATATCCGCGCCAACTTTGAAAGCTCTTTTTTGAGCTTTGGAGTTAATTTTAGAACAGAACAGACAACAAATACCCCAAGGCCAAAAGAGAATACGCTTTCATGTTGATTTTTACGAATTTCTGTCCCTTTTCCCCTCCGTATATACCAACCATACCGATGAAAATTCATCTTGATAAACAAATTAAGTTTTATGGGAAGTGAGATAACCCTCTGTACATCGCAATTTATCGAGAATCTGTCTTAGAATCCGGGAAGTCACGCAAAGTCGCGTCCACTTAGGTTGCATAAGGCGCGGCGACGAATCGGGTCAAAACGCCTACCAACGGAAAGTGCTTGCCACGGGGGTGCGCTTCAAATTGAGCTCATGGATTTATTTATCATCGCACAAAAATGGTTGTGGTATCATTTTAAATGTCAGAAAATGATCTTTCTACAAAACACGAGAGGAGGTGTGTTTCTCCACCCTATTGAAAATTATTCGTCGTTGTAAATTTTGGCAATTTGAACATTTTCTATTCATTTGGAAAATACCCGGAAAAGTCGGAGGAAAAACGCAAGTATATCCGTAACACTTGTTGACTTTCAACATAGCTTCTAAACAAGCCCAAAATAATGAAAATCGGACGAGAATGTGCCGAGATATAGCGCGCGTATGACTTGCGTAGCGCGTTAATTGCCCGTATTCCGCCGTTTTCACCGCGCACCGCGTACCGCGACGCTCACTTAAATTGCTCTAGCGGGTGCATTTTTTGACGCAAAAAATTGTTTTGGTATCAAATAAAAAGTCAGATAATTTCCCATCGCCGTTACGTAAGGCAAAAACGTCATTTTCTCGCGTGTTAAATAATTACACGCTCTTGAAAATTGGGTGAAATTTCAAAATTTCAAAATTTTCCTAATGACCGTTTATGTGTGCCTTAGGCGAAAAAATTTATGAGGTAGACTTCTGGAGAAGCATTTTAGCTTCAAAACGAGACCAAGAAAACGAAAATCGGACACGAAGTTTCCGAGATATAGCGCGCTGAAAAAACGCTCGGCGGCCATCTTTAACGGCCGCCATCTTGGTTCCTGCACGGACCCTAGAGTGCTTCCCCTTCTAAAAGGGCTTCTAATGACCATAAGAATGATCCCTGAAAGCGGCAATTTCCAATCAAAAAGTGCAGGGTTTTTTTGTGTACCCACCGTACTAAGAGACTTTAACGCAGGTTAGAAAAATAGGCGCGCCGACACATGCGGCTTGCTTGACACATGTGGAGACCTTTTTACTCATAAAAGAGATAGCCAAGACTGTGAAATGTAGGGACCACTTCAGAGACTTTAACGCAGGCCAGAAAAGTAGGCGTGCCTACAAATGCGGCTCGCCTGACACATGGAGACCTTTTTGCTTTTTCATTTAGACGCACTCAGCAAGCACCGATTTTTTTAGATTTTGTTGATAATTTTTATCAAAATAACGACGCAAAATGTTGTACATTTGTACGCAAAGAAAGATATGTCTGTATTCACCAATGACGCAATTTTTCAGGGGCATGATGCTTGCAAACCGGTGTGACGTGAGGAGGGGGAAGGGTGTATATTCCAAATTTCAGCATGAAGTCGTCACCTTCCAGGCAAAGTATCACAAGCGCCATGCGACGTTTAAAAATTTCCGCCGCCATTTTATTTTTTTACTGAGAAATTGTTGGTTGAAACTGTTCGAAAATTTCACTAAATTTTATCGGCAGCACAAAGAAAATTCGGTGTAATTTTCGGACAGGTTCGTTGAACAATTTCTCTGTAAAAAAATATAATGGCGGCGGAAATTTTTAAACGTCGCATGGCGCTTGTGATACTTTGCCTGGAAGGTGACGAAGTATTGTCAAGACGGCCCCTGCCGACGCTCGACGTGACGTGACGTGACACCGGGAGCAAGAAGACGATGACAGCTATAAACTTCCTCTCCATGCGTCAAGAGCTTGGATGAATCGGCTATCAATACTCCAGCTCCACGCCGTGACCAATTTCACATGCGTGTGACTGATGTGCAAGTACATCTGCCGTACCACTGGTAAAGTCATTACTCAAACCTGCCAAGAAAGAGCCGGCCAATGCATGGGTGCACTGGAATGCGACGCAGGGAATTATCATGAAAGGCTTTGCGAGTACAACCAAGAAAAATGGCAAAATTATTAGAGCCAACTGCTCTTCAAAAAATTAAAGAAAGTTTTTTTTTTATCAGTATTATTTATTTATTTATTTATATCCAAGAAAGGCCTCTACATCCTCCTCTTGGGTTTGAAACGGGCAAACATACTGACAGGTTCTTTTGAATCGGCGTTGGTATATATATCTGATCACGTTGTGAGTATCAATCGGTGAGCAAAAAATCATGCCTTAGGCAAGCGAACAGGGCCGGATTAAGGGGGTGGCTCCATGGGCCGCGGCCCATGGCGGCATATTTAGGGGGTGGCAAATTTTGCAATTTTTTTAAATGTAGCTGTAAAGAAAAATCGGATTCAGAAAAAAAAATTACGGACGAGAAAAGGTGACAAAATCTCTCATTTCCTGAGAGTATGTCTCTAATTTTGTCGTCCTTCTGTGATACAATAGACAGCACCTTTAATTAGTCAAGTTAAGACTAAGAGAGAAACCGAACACGGAATTTGGCCTGGAACGGCGCGGCGCAGAGAGCAATGATGACGAGAACGTGAGATGAAAAGGAGAAACCCTCGGCGCGGCGGTCGGCATGTAACACGTATTAGCGCCTACAAGACTGCATGAATACTTCACGTATTGCGCCAAAGAGAGTGCGGTCAGCAGCGGGCAGCGTGAAACGCATAGCGCTTACAAGACTGCATGAATACTTCACGCATTGCGTCTAACACAGTGCGTGAAGCAGCGGTCGGCCCGAAACGCATAGCGCATGTAAGACTGAAGGAATATGGAATTGCGCCAAACACAGTGCGGTCAGCGCGGCGCGGCGGCGGAAGTTAAAATTATTAAACCACATTTATGTTTGTTCTTTCATAATTTTTTGGTTCATTTCTTATAAATGGAGGGCCTTGTCCACACAGAGATAGGTTTACGGAACTTAACTTTCGCGCCAAGTTCCGTTAACTTTTGCTAGTAGTGTTGACAAGGCTTTCGCAAAAAATGTGACCAACACGAGTAAACGCGTCTTATACGCCTCTCCCCCTCCGGCACGTTCACTTGATGGTTTTTATTGATGTTATTCAAAACGAATGAGAAGGGGGCGGCAAAATACAGGCGGCCCATGGGCGGCAAGTAAGTAAATCCGGCCCTGCAAGCGAATCACGCGATTTTTTAGCCGTGCATGTGTATGATGGATTACATTTTGCAAAAACGAATCAAGAGAATTCTAATATCACTATAAGATTGTGCAACTTTTATTACCTTGTAAATATAAAGTGATCATCAAAACAAGTTTAATCTTTATTGCAATAAACTTATAAATTACCTTTGAAAATTTTTTTGCGTGATGCTAGTGATTTTATTGCAAAGAATTTAAGTTGCACAATCCCAGAAACATTGGAATGCTCTTGGTTCCTCTTTGCAAAAGATCCAAATGAGCCTCGCTTCTATCAAATAAAATATTTTTGAAGGTACGACGCAGATCCAACAAAATTAAGTAAATTCAAACTTCGCGGGTGTATTTAAATCTGCATCATGATGACGTAAAAGTTATAGTGACGCATGCCGGTCTTCTGAAGTTTCACCCGCCATGTGTCTTTCACGTGTTTTTGTTTTGATAAGAAAGTAAACAATATCAGGAGGTTAGGTTTTCCATATTTTCCCTCGTTTTTTGTTTTTTCTTCCTCTCACCAGCATTAATTTTGCTCTGCTTTTACAGTACGGAAATCGATTTTCTAGTTTTAAAAGTGAAGCTTCAAGAAGTACTCTGTGATCGATTGTTATCTTTTCCTAATTACTCTAATTGTAACCATCGAAAAACGTTCTACAAGACAAGATTTCAGTGCTGCCTTTGGTGATCATGGATGTCGATGATCAGTATGTTATTAGTCAATCTTATATTATCTAGTAACTTATTCCTCCTGTTTGCTAAACCAGCTTTCATGCTAAAGTGAGATACATTTGTGCTCTGGAGAGAATTTTAGGCGGCAAATTATTGTGGAGTCGTATGCAACAGGTGTTCCCTAATATAGGGAAGAAAACTATCTCAATTGCAGCTGTTCAAATTTTACGATTCAATTTCTTTTATTTAAGGAAGTATCCATAGCCATCATTGCAAAAAATTCCTAGGGATGGTTATCCGGAAAGCTGAGGAAAGTAATTTTTGTAACAAAATCGTTTACATGATGAAGTGATTATGAGCCATCTCCTGATAACGTCAGATGTGACAGGACAGGATGTACACAATGTTTACTTGTAACATGTTGTAACTGTCTAGAATTTCTCCAGGCAACTTGCACTTGCTTCTTAGCAACATATGTACAAACACTGCCTCATCATCGCTTGCAGGTTTAACAAATTGAATTTCAATTAATTATCAACTAACTTTTGCTGGGTGAAATTCCTTTACGAGAAATTTCTGATGATTAATCGCTGCGAAAAGTCACACAAATGAACGAATAATTCATTCTGACTTCCACATAGCCCGCATCCAATGGACTTAGAAGCAACTCTCTGTTGTATGTTTTGTGATCATCAAATTTGTTCCATTTCTTTCTTTGAATTTGCTTGTTAAGTTTGTCCAAGCAACTGTTTGCGACAGAAAATTTTGCAAAAATTTAGAGAACAAGGCCTTTTAGGAATTTCTCGATCTTTCCTGCCACGAATACTGGTGCTTTTGGGCTTTCTCTAAGATTATTATTTTTTAGAGAGCTGGAGTAAATTTAGCACTGACTTAAACAAGAGAAATTTCATGTAAGTACTTTTGAAAGGAAATTTGCAGTTGTACTAGACTGAAATGAAGGATTTTCCTGAAACAATTTGCTATGTTGAAATGTTCCTAAACCTCTTTCAGTCTGGTCTCTTCATTTTATTTGAAATTTGTCATTGATTTCCTTCCTAAAAACATCTAACTTTTGGATCTATATGCTTTCAAAGAGAATTATGGCAGAAACCAATAATTAATTTCATGTTTCTTCTGTTTCAGTTATGATCGAACACTTAATGATGTTAAGACTGTAATTACTCATGCCAAACTCGAGGAGGACGATTTACATCCTGTCTCTCAAAACATATATTTTGGCACTCGATTTGAGAATTTCAAATTTCTAGAATTGAACAATACAGTATTGGAACATTTGGAGGTTGGGCAAAGGTAATTGTCATCTCATATCCTCTTCAAAACTTATTCTCAACAGGTTTGGTGAAAATAGAATATCAGCGCAAAGAAATGACAAATATTTAGGAGTCCTTTTCCAATCATCTTGAGGACCCTGAAACATTGCAGGGCTGAGGAGAGCAAAAAAATGGTGTATATTTCAAGCAGTTATGAGTAGGTGATAAGTACTAAAAATGTGACTTTTTTACGCTCATAGAATTAGAATTCTGACTTTTACTTAAATCTTGCTTTAAGTAAAAAGTTTTTATTGAGCCTTTAAACCACTTTAGGTTATGTTGCATTTAAATACACCTCACAATACTGAATTTTTTTTCGGTATTAAGTACAAGATTGGCGTCAAGCATGAAAGTAGTAGTTTTTTGTGTTACAAAGATGTAGTATAACAAGGATCATTGATCATTTGGTTCCCAGCTTTTGTAAATTACAGTAATTTTCTCTCAGACACCCTCTTCTTTTGCTTATTCTCCTTCCTTTAACAATTTTACTTGTCAACACCTTACTTACTTTGATTTTTTTGGCCGCCTGCCTATTTTTCAAACATCTCTCTCCTTTATTTCAGAGTCGTATTTCGTGGAGAAGAGGATGACAGAGCCGTCTTGTGCACTGAATCTCAAACATATGAAGTGAAAGAAGCAGAGACTTCCAACTCTATGCTCCTAGTACCTAATTTGCGATGGCCAGAAGACATGCTGCCAAGTGTAAATGACGATCGAATGCTAGAGAGACGAGAAGTATGTGCTCTCAATTTTTACCAGTACTATCAAAAAAATCGCTTATACATCATACGGCACTGAGTTCTTTTATTTATCTATGATTGGTAACAGGTGTATGTACAAGCTTAGATTTATATGACCTAGGAATGTCCTACCGGTATCACTTGAGTCTTCGTTTTCCTCCTCTTGTAGCTTTTGCTTGGAGAGCAGCTGATTCGAGCGGCCATATTAGAGTGTATCGATTTTTTAAAACAAGCAACACCGACAACTCATCAGCTAGATTTGTTTGAACACCCTTAACTGAGATACACAGGAAGAAATATGAGAAACTTTTATCATAAAGAAAGGAACAAAATTGAAATTTTTCCTTACAGAGAAAGCCACAAACTGCTCTAAAATAACAAGGCGGTTCTTTGCATAGTGAATATCACATTCTTTTTTAATGTCAGAAGTCAATTTTTAATTTTCTAACTGTTTTCTAATTACATTTTTGTCTATAATTATAAATTCATTTATTTTTTTCTCTCTCCATTTTTTTAAATCTTAGATTGTTGGTATTCACTATAGTTACTATGAACTCAGGGTTTGCAAGCCTCGTCTGAAGAAATTGAGACGCATTCTTCAAGAAAGTGCGTATCGAGGATCAGAGTTGGAAAGTGAACTCCAAGAATCCAATGTCAAATTTTATACAAGCGATGATTTGGAAACGATTCAGGCCAGCAAAGAAGAACTAAAGGATGCACTGAATGTGATCGACGCTGTGTGTTTAAATGGTTTGTTATTTTAAATTTTTCTGGACCTAAGTTTTTTAACTATGCTGTTCCCTCACATTGCTGAGTGAGAGCAGAAACAATGATCTTGCGCCACATTGAAACTGCTTTTTCTTGGTTCTCAAGATTGGTGAGGAGATGACTCATCTTTTTTGCTACAGTTTAAAGTGAAATAATGAAAAAAATGAAACAGGAATTTCATCATTTGGTCTACTTTTATTAATATAGATTCTTTTACAAAGAAGGAAGTTGCCGAATCTTGTGATGGCAGTTTCTTAAATTTCTCTGCAAAACGCAATACATCCTCAGTGAATTTGAGTTTTTCATTAATTCTCTAATTTCCTTGATCATATAATTTCCTAGCTTACTGTTTTTTACCTTGATCTTCATTAGTTCCATATTTATTTTTGTTACTTCTATTACCCCTTAAGTATTGTTATCATTTGATCAAAATTGTTTTCAGGTTATTGGCGAGTACTAGACTTTGACTACCACTATAGGATCCTTTCATTATTCTTGGATTTGATCAACTCAAATTCTTGGTCCATAGAATCCATCCCAGCAGCAGAGGTCCTCTCAGAATTGAAAGACTTGATCCCAGAGTTGATTTTGCAACATTTAGTCAAAATATACACAGATCCAGTAGAAAATTCTGACAGTAAGTATCTTATTTGTTTGATTACCAGTAAAATTTCTGATTCATCAGAAAATTAGCCACAAAAAATGGGAACTCTATGCGCTGCAGAGAAAAAAATTCTGCAGGAGAGCAATTTTTGTCTAGTAATGTTAAAAATGACATGTATTTGAGCTCTAGATAGGTACATCATTGGGTTTTTTTTTTTTTTTATTTTTTGTTTTTGTTGAGAGTTTAGTCAGTGCTTGATAACAATGGATGGTGTAAATTAAATTTTAGGTCTCACGATTTTAAACTGCAATTATGATTAGCAAGTCTCTCAAAAACTACACTTGCTGAGGTGCTAACTTCAAACTGTCCTATCTCTGTTAAAGTTTAAAATTGTTGTACTTTTTTGTATCAATATGTTCATTAATCACCTTGCTATGTAGTAATCAGAGTCTTATCTTCCCCATTCCGTGAAAGCTACTTTTAGAAGTCTATACGCAGGTATGCCCAATGATGACTCATTGACTCCTGACCAAATAGTTGAGCAATCTTAATCTAATTTTCAAGAATTTGCACAGCCAAGTGCTCACCCCGACATCAATTGATCATCATTCGACGAATTTTTTTATATTTATTGCTCAATAAGTCCCTCATCAATCATCATAAGGGGAAAAGTAGCATTGACCGCCAACTTTAAGTTTGGCCGCACCCAATACTTTTGCTTAAATTTTTGGTGCTAGGTCTCTAAAATATATTGTTTCTGACACTAGTAGCAATACTTAAATTTTTTAATCATATCAGGTTGGTGTCCTCCTTCCTTTCTCTCAGAACAATATCCATTGTTCAACTGGCGTCAGCAGGAAGTAAATATAAGTGTCTACAGTATAGGTAAAAACAAAAAGGGTGAGGCTCTCCCTCTGAGGGGGAGGAAAAAAAGCATTTTTTCCCTCCCTCTGAGGATGAGGAAAAAAAACATTTTTTCCTTCCAATTTATTCTTTCATATCCTAACACAGCCGGTAAATTGTAATAAAAAAACTCCTAAATTAGATGAACTTCTTTTGTTAAAATTCATCCAAATTAAAAGGGCCTTAATCTGAGGTCCTGTTTGACTACTTTCTTTGTCATAATTTTTTTTATCCTACATTGGCACATCTATCCTTCAGCATTATGTATCTTCCATTCACTCATTCTCTTTTTCAAAGCCTCAATTTGATATGATATTATCCTTTGTCTCCCTTTAATTTTTTTAATAGGTGGATCCATGGTGAAGTTAAAAGCAGACAAGGTGTGTCGATTTTTAGCGGAAGCATTGCTGAGGTCACTCAACCGGTTCAATCTCAAAGATTTCCTCAAGGCGTGGCAAGACAGTGTCCCTGAAGGTGAGAGCACTCTCAACCAAATTCAATTGTTAACGTCCAAATGTTTTGTCCAATATATTTTGATGCTCTTATAGTAGATCTTTGAACGGTGCAAGATTGAAAGCACCCCTGTTTTCTCCCAAAAATGATCCTTAAAATATGATAGAACTATTGGAAACTTTCAAATGTGACTCACGAAAGACAAATGTGCTCTAAGTAACATTAATCTAATCTCCAAGTAAACCACTGGACAAAGTAAGAGCTACTGGCCAATATGTTTTTAGCAGAATTATTAACGCAAATAATCGGAAGCTAGGTACCTATTAGATACAAATTTTGGAAATCAATACGTACGTAAGAAATTAGAGATCATAGTACACTTTTGAATCCGTCAACTCAAACTCCTCACTCACCAAAAAAAAAAAAAAAAAAAAAAAAAACCATAATGCGATCATATTGAAAACCAACTATTGTACCTATCATAGATTATCCACAAGCTACACAACTGTACGATTCTTGGTGCACTACATACTTTGGAGAAATGGGTCAGATCCCAAATCATTCAATTTTTCTGTGCAATTGGTCTTCTTCTGCTAGTCAAATCCAAAATTCGGCCATGAGGCAAAAACACCATATCTCACAGTATGGTCTATGCTTTAGACATTTTAGCATTCCTAATATTTTGTATATTTTATTTTTAGGCTTAAAAGTTGATGTAAAACAGTTAGAGGGGCTGGCATTAATTGACTCTGACACCAAGCCTCCGATAATTTCGCTGTATCCAGAATCTGATCTCCCAGAGGAGATTCAACCAAGAATCGAAGAATTGTTCACTGTCAGGGAGAAGTGGACTTTTGATCAAATTAAGCCTTATGTTGAGTAAGTGAATTTAATTTTCCGTTTTCCTCACAGGTTTTTCTCTGTTTTCACAAGGTACATCGCTACTCTTTTAATTCATTCAAAGCTAGACTTAATGACAAGATTATTTTTTTGTTCTCACAAATTTGACTTGGATTTGATTTTCCCCAAATTTAATCGGGTGTATATCTAATGACCCGTAGAAAGCACCATCCATTTTCTAGCTTTGATGAGGAAATTCAGGATTTTAAAGAAAGAGTTTTCCTGAAAGTTTAGTAAGTACAGGTTTATCTCGTGTCTTTTTTGGCAGTAGCTCCTTTGCATTGCAGGAGGACAAAGTTACTGGCTCTCTAAACTTTCAGATCTTTGCATAAATTACTGTGTCTAGTTTTGCAGTCATTATGCTGCAAGTTGGTCGCGGTTGACCTTCAGACAGGGTCAGAAACCAAACATTGTCATCATAAAGCATATGATCTCAACTAGAACTCACTTTATTCTGGCCTGGATCTGTATTCTCCTTGAAAAGTTTACATAATGGCCTTTTCAAAAACGTAATTGGTCATCTATGGGTAAGTTGAAAAAGTAGAAAATATGAAGGGAGCATTAGCTATTCCCAAAGTGCTCAACAAAGTGAATCATAACTGTAAACATATTTTCCCATCAGACTTTTATGTAGAATATTGTTTATGCATTGAAAAGTTCTACGTACATTTAAAATCTGAGTGAGTGATTAGGGGTTTTTGCTTTCGTCAATTTATGCTTTTTACCGGTCAAAAATCTTAAGTTTATTCAAATCAAGTTTCATAAATTAAATCAAATAGACATCATCCTAATTTGAGCGTATGGTTTTATTTTTTTTAGACCTCTAGCCACAGCACAGCTGAATGTGAATGCCTTACTTACCAAGTATGCACGACCTTTCTTCGTTCAGAATGTCAAGCATTACTGTGCTCGTCATAAGAAATGACTCTATTTCATGAGCCTCTCTCCAATGTTCCTGTAATACCAATATTTACATTTCTGCATCAGTCTTAAGTGGTTTTTTAAGAGTACAAAATTACTGCCCATCTCTCCTCACAGGTAGAAAATATTCTTTTTTTCCGTAAAATTATTTATGCAGAATCAACCCTCAGTTCATTTCAGCAATCTTTATAGTAAAAAATTTCAGGAAAAATGTTGTGGTGCATTCTTGTCATAACTGAATCATCACACATGATGAACATTCTTCGGCAAAGAGAATCCAAGGTGAAATAATCATGAGTAGTAATCACAATTTCAGCGTAAAACCTTTGTCTAAAATAATGTGAAGCTCGGATCTCTATTTGACTTGTGTCAATTCCAGCCTGTTCCATTTTTGCACTAATCAAGTCGCTTGTATAATTTGCACAAAATGACATCATCAAGGAAATCCTGTGAGTAAAACTGCACTCTATGTACTCAAAAAGCCTAACAAACCTGATGATTTTCTAATATTACATCCGCATGGAATTGGATCAGATGTAATGAGAAAGATCAACAAAGTACATAAGAGGAAAAGATTTTGCTCCTGCTTAAAAAAAAGGCCTCTTCGTAGAAGAACAGTAGGAGTGAAAACGGTGAATGAAGTTTCCTCATAGGAGTTCTCCGAGTCATGAAACACCTTTTGCATTTTTTACATCATTCTATTCTATCAAGAGGCAGACTGACCGTCTAGTTTCAGTTTTCTATGTATATTTGTTTGTTCAAACTGAACTAAAATTGGTCATGAACTTTTATTCAGTTTCTGCTGTTTTTATTTTAAGTATTCAAGTTCTTGAATTGCTCGTACATAATATGACCAGTATCAGTGTGTAACTGATTTCCAGTTTCCTTTCTTATCTCATTTTATTAGCGGAAAACCGAAAAAAAATTCCATCGCAGTTTCGCGAGCTTATTTTTAATCCTCTTGAAAAGACTTTTACCAAAACTTTCAAGGCATTATGTCCTTCCAGTATAAAAGATAAACAGGTGTTTTTAAAGTGCATGATGCATTTATAACTATCTATAAAATTGTATAAATTATGCAAATAATTTACCCAGATGCAGTTGTTGCAAGGAATGTTAGCAACAATTGCATCTTGGTATGTTATTTTCACAATTTTTACAATTTTTTATATAATTAGGCTACATGAAATGTAATAGGCTAATTTTGGTTAAAGTCATTCCTATAATTTTTCCCTTACCTCATTAAACATGTCAAACAAGTAACACAATCATTCTTATTTAAAAAAATACTTTAATGAAACCTTGCGCTTATACATAAACTATAGGAACATACAGCCGTAACAATCAAAACCAGGTAAATTTACAAAAACGTCTGTTTCTAAACTCAAGAGCTGGTTTGCTGAAGATGCATGCAAGACAGCTTACTCATTTTTCTTTGCGAGATGAAATTGGATGGCGTTTGATAAGATTCTGTAAGACCAGAATATCAAAACTTTACGAATCTGACAGCATTCAAATAGCTTCTCAAACAGCCTTCTTCATTTTCTTTTGATTTTAAAGAAACCACTTATGAGCAGTTCTCTAAAATTCAGACTTTTATAAAACCATCCAAACTTTAAATGAGATTTGAACGTGAAACTAATAATGAAGCACAGTCAGACGCTGACAGGCCGCACCAATCTAGTTTGCTGGTCAGTCTCCATCACAGGTATCTGGAATTTCAACAAAATCCAACTTTAGAACCTTGAAAATAATTTTCTCTCACCTCAAAGAGTCAAGTTATATGAAATAACTTTTCAATGCTAAAACTAGAAAAAATGTGAGGGTCTATTGGAATGACCCTGTACCTATTATCATGGAAAACCCAACTCGTCAGTCTCGAGAACAACTTCTCAGGAATATTATGTGAAAAGTCAACTTTTAAAACCCAAACTAAGTTCAAAACAGTTTTCAATTGCACCCATTTTCAATGTAACAGAATGGATGGTTAAATGGAAGCAACATTTTTGACTTGGGGTATTTCCAGCTTTTGAAAGAGGATTTTTGTGACAGTTAACCTTGATAAAAAATAAAGCAACTACTAACCAGCTAACCACTAGCTAATGGGCTTTTCAAGTCTTTGCAATTGAGGTAGGTGCCATCGTAGTATTATCATATTTGCAATGTTATGTAAGGATGGAAAAGGGACCGAACCTGAGGCTGGAGTTGTGGTTGCCGCCATTGATGCTGTGTATGTTGACAGCGGCCGTTGCATTCGTCGAGGTGGTGACATTGACCCGTGTCTGCTGGGTGCTGTTCCGATGGAGCGTTCCCAGCATGTAGCACCGCCGATGCGGCCCATGGTATGAGTCGTATCCGCTCGAAGAGTTGGTATTTCGTGTCTGAAACCAGCAAATCACAAGCCACCACCAAATTTATTCTGCCCACACCAACTTTGAAAACAGAAGACCTGGGCTTCCAAATGACAGATTAAGTTCAGGGCGCCATTTGAGGAGAAGAGGGTGGCTCTAAGAAGCAGGGGGCCAATTTTCCTCTTGCACTCTAGAGTTGACCTTTTACAGAGGCTATTTTGGTCAATTTTATCGATCTAAGTGCATTTTTTGAGACTTTTGAAAGTTCTGTCCTCCTTCAAGCAAATTTTACCCAGGCTCAAGAAATTTTGCCTCCCCCTCTCCCCCGCATCCACCAAAAATTTGCCCTTAATGACGCCCTGCATAAATTCCTGTTCAGTTTCATATTGGCAGGCTCTTGTAAAGTCCGAAAATTTACGTGGACCATGAAAAATCAGGAAAAAGGCAGCAACCAAAAAGTGTTGAACTTAGTATCATTTTTCTCTTCAAACTCTTAGATTCAATAATTTTATCAGTTACTGTGCTTTTTTAAGTGCATATGGGAAAAAACCAGCAGCACTATTTGCAGGACTCAAAATTTTGTTTTTGTTGTGCATATGGCTTTTCAAACCTATGCTGTACCTACTGTATGGTACCGTATTGAGTTGCACTTTGCTAGACTGACAGTTTTACCTAATTAATGGAGAAATTAAAATATAAAATTTCAACTTAAAGAAATATTATAGTACTTTGAAAGGTGATCTGCTGTTCCAGTCAGTTGCCATTGAACTCAAACACTGTTTTATTGAAAGATCTTTCAATTTTTTTGGAGCCTTCTTTGGAGTGCACTTGGACAAGTGGACCAAATGCAATAAGGCTCTTCCATTTCTGGCTCATTCATAAAAGAATCCAGCTGTGTGAGGAAACTAATAGCAAGTGCGATGTTTCTAACATGACCAAGAAATAGCATTTCCATGGTGGAAAATGTAGTCCAATTTGGTCTTCATTAATAGTGAATGTTCAAACACAACTGCTGCAAAATCACGTTCTCATAATTTTTAAGGCAAAGTTCGCATTCAGGTCGATGTCACTGGTTGAATCAATCATTGTTAGTTTTAGCTATGGGGCAGGGTTCATCCATGGCAAAGTTTCCCCCAGAAAAACAGCTAAAAACAGGTTTATTGTCAATTTAAGATTTCAGGGGGGATGACACTGAAAGAGTGGAGACTTACTTTGAAGCAGCGGCGGCGACCTGTGTGAATATCGTCAAACTCCTGTCGAAACAGCTTTCGAACTGTCTTGCGAAGATTTTTGGTCATGACACAGTAGAGGAGGGGGTTGATGGCAGAATTGGCATGACCCAATAGAAGAGCGAAGGGGTACCAGTTCAGCATCGTCCGCTGAAAATCCATTGAAATTTTAAAATTTCCTCTCATTTGTATCTGTTACTCAAATACACACACAATACAATTGCACTAATTATAGGATTTAGTCTTACGTCAAAGGAAAATGGGACACACTAAATGAATAATTAATCATGTAAAAAAAAGAAAGGTCATCTCCACTTTTTCAAATTCATCAAGAGATCGAAATCATGTCCAGAAAGCAAGGAGTTCATGAAATACGGAGGCTGAACGATTTATAAAAGTGTATGGTGGCTATGGATTAATCCAGAGCAGAACCAGACATCGTCAAGCGATTCTCTGGAATTCAATTAATTTTTTTTTGTGTATCATGCACTAGAATATGTAAGAAGTAATAATTTCAAGGTATTGCCAGAATTCCTAACAATTTACAGCAATACATCTAGTATTTACAACGATATCAGTTTTCATGATGCCTATATCCTTAAACGGAAAAAAATATACATCCTGTACGCTTGGGCCAAGGTTATTCATGCCTTAGCTTCTACAGGTTTTTTTTATCCTTGCGATTACTCTTGCGTTTTACTCCTGTGGGAGCTTGAGCAACTTTGAGATCACTCTCTGCCGACATTGTGCCAGGGTTGATGGGAATTACTACCGTCATCTCATCTGTTTCTACTTGAGCACTCTTTGCAGCTTCTGCACTCATCTTCTTCTTTTTATCCAGTTTATTAAACCTAGTGGTAACTATTCTTCGGTTCATAAATCGAACTTCCCATAATATTTTGAGTCTGATTAAAGTGCTTGCAAATTCTTCTTCTGCTTCTCCACTGCACAGTTTTAGAGCTAGCTGCTGGTTTTTGAAGGCAAGTTTGATGATTTTGCTGATGTTCCTTTCATGGCAACGGGCAGCAAACACTTCATTAAAAACTCTTTCCATTTTTTTGACAATTTGGAAACTTTCATAGGAGGGTGCTTGGAGTTGTCCAAAATCTTGACTTAGTTCTTTGGAGTGGCCTTTGAAGTAAAGAAACCTTTGATAGTCTTCAGTCCAGATTCTCTTGTATCCTTGTTACAAAAACGCACACAACTTGCACAAAAGCTGCACTTCTGTTTCCTTGCAAAAACGCGAGTAATGAAGCCGCAACAATAGGAGAGAGCATTCTCTTCGGTGGCATCCATTTTTTCTTGATGCTCTATTTTGTCCAGACTTGGCGTGACAGTGATTTCTTCTTGCTTCTTGCTTCTTATTACTTGCGGAAGTTTGCTCAAAACGATGAGAGACTTTTCAACCTCTTCCTCACATGTTGGTTGCATCGCTAATGTTGGATAAGGGTGACAAAGTTAAATTTCTGATGCCCTTTCAGGGGCGTAGCTAGGAAATTTCTCTGGGGGGGGGGCATGGGACCACGTTTCGTGGTGAAGAGGGCGGGGGGAGGGGGA